AGTAGACCCAGGGCCTGGTATGAGGGCTTAAGTTTCCTAAAATTTAATAATGTTTCTCTGAGAAAGATCTTTTATTCATTTTTCATAAAATACAGGTGCCTTTTGCAAGATAAAACTGTTTGGAACAGTATTGTTTTGCTAATTATTAATTCAAAGGAAAAAAAAAGACTAACTAGAATTCCAAGTTAATGAATTTTCTAATTATCTCTCACAAAGGTAAAATTTCATCTCCAAGAGTTTTTAGAAATTATGCTTAACACAGTAAAGGCTGAACAATAGTATATTGCCAGTCATTTAGGATGGTGTTTCTAATTTCTCAATTTTACTTGCCCTCGTTTGTGAATGGTTGTTGGTGGTCATGGTTCATGACTTGATAATTTAGTTGTTGTGAAACTTGCAGTTAGCCCTAGTATCCTCTAGATGGAGATCTTGTATATCTTTGATTTTAAAAATGGTTTCACATCCTATGGTTGTTTAATGTTTTCCATGTGCCTTCTTAGAATTACCATCCATGTTTTGCCTTTCCCTACATAAATTGTAGAAATAAACTCTTTCTTAGCAAGACAGAAATATAAACAGTATTGTATTATTTTATATTTGGAATTTTAAAATGCAGGGGAAATCATAAAACAATAGAGAAGATAGATTCTATCAGTTCAGGGAAAAGTTAGCTAATTTGTGCATAAGAACTTACAGTTCACTTCTCGGTTCATAGCAAACTTGTGCATTTCCTGGTTGAGTCTGTAATCTGCGTGATTGTGGCATTGACACTGCATGAAAACTGGCGGAGTGACCAATGTAGTCAGAATTTACAAATCTAAAAATGGATACTGCATGAATTTAGAATTCTTTTTTACCAGAGCTTTTACCCTGGCAATCAGATAATTAGATATGGGTGGATTTCTGCTGAACTGTAATGCTTTTTTTCTAAAGAAAAATAATCCTTACGTTTCCATAATTCTTCAGAAGCAAACAGTAGCAATCTCCTTATGGGTACACTTTATATATTTTAATAGTAAGATGGACAAGTTAGGCCCTCCACTTCAAACTGGAAGACATATGCAAAGGTTGTATGACAGTGACACAAGGTCTGACAGTGCCTTCAAAAGACATGACTTATTACCCAATCTCAAGTAAGTATTCATAATGCAATTTGGCTGTTTTTTATCATATATTTCTTAAAGGTTTATAGCATCAAAAGCTGTACATTTTAGTCTTCTTAAAAATTACTTTGCTTTAATCATTTTAAGCCTTTTTAATACCAAATGGTCTTCCAGTGCATAATTTTTTTTATTCTTATTGAACATTTCTATTCTAATTAAAACTTCTAGATGATGCCTTTTACTCTATTACACACTACTTTTTAGAGGGTATAGTTGCAAGTTACCTTCAAACTGTTGTTTTGGGGAAAGCTTAACTTCTTAGGAGTAGTAACTTTATAAAAGATTATGTAGGGCAAATTATGTAGAAGTAGCATTACCTGATAGTCAACCAGATGTTGAATTAGAGCCTGAGGAAAATGATCCTAGAAAACATGCAAGGTGCTCTTAGTATTTTTGTTAGGTGTTTATAATTGCATATAAAACATGGAAAAGGTCTGATTGTGCCAGGTGCATTCCTGTCTGTCCTGGCTAGTCAGCTAGACTAAGAATAAGAAGAGCGTGGTAGCTACAGCCACTTTTAAACCTCTACAGCATGAGATGCCAAGATTGACTAATTTGAGCTTCAATTTCTATCCATTTTAGTCCTCATTGTAAAATTATGAGAAAAGGACTTAATAAATGAATTTATTTTAAACTTGAAAACTATATTAAACAGTTTTTAAAATCAGTGTTCACTATAACATTCTGTTTATTCAACATGAATATAATAATAAATTAGACAGGTAATAAACAATTGTGGAGAAGTCTCTAAGATTCTAGAGTACTGAGGTTACTTCTTAAAAGTTGGCAATCATTCACAGGATGAAGATCATGAGGGGTGTGTCTTTACTATTACTATGTCTCTGTCCTCTGAAGTAGCTATCAGAAGAAAACTGACTTCGAAAAAGAAAAGTGTAACTCCTGAGTTAATATATTTCTATTATTTGATCTATAAGACATAAATAAAGTTCACATATAAAATTAGAGCAATGCTTTTCAGATTGTGGCCAGGAAGAAAAATACTTGGAGGATGTGAGATGGGAGCAGCATGTTAAGTACTCATCCAAGCAGAGATCTTTCCAGACTTTTCAGAATGGCTTTTTACATACAGATTCCATCTCTCAGAAGACATTAGAAAAAAAATAGACATATGATATCTTACTTTATATAGCTTATGTTTTCTTTAAATGTGATCATTTAAAATTTGGTATGGGGTATATTTATTTTAGCTATATACTTCTTAAATACATATATATGAAAGGGATAATATTTCTAATAAGATGTCTCCAGTTTTAGAAAAGTTTTTAGATGTCTATTGAATGCTATGTTTTTACAATTTTTTTAAAGCAACTGAATTCTAGAAAGGCACTATGCCATTCTGCTAATTGTGCTACAAAAAAAGTAGAATTAAATAAATAGGTAGGTTTGGGAACCATTCGAAGAAGTCTTGGGTATAGCATCGTTGTACCAAAGTGTTTCTTTGCTTGCTGAAGAAGGAACTACTTAGAGCAGGCACTCTGAATGATAGCACTGTGAATTGAATTTGGGATTTGTGATACTATGTCAAGTTCAACTGCAAGTAATTTGACCACACAATAGCTTTTTAATTTGCTCAATATCTATGAACACAAGTTTCTCCAAAGTAGGCATATATGTAGTACATGACTGTAGAGAGCTAGTTGGAAGGCTGAGTTGGGACAATTACATGATCCCAAGAGTTGAATACTACTGTATGCAATATGTCGATACCATGTGTTTTAAAATAAATAAAAAGACCACTCTGAAATGGTACCATATTTCAGAGTGATACCATTCTAATTTGGGTGTGATTAAATTATGTGTAGTGTCTACATTCATATTTGGAGTAATGAGTATTTGGAGAATAGTTATTACCTGCATATATTTTGAAAGTAGTTCTTGAACATTTTAGGAGTGCTTCTGACTTTGACATGTAAATAGGATAGGAAAAATTTCAGCCAAAATGTAAGAACTTCTAATATAAAGGAATTCTTAAAGTATTCTGCCCGTTATATAGCCACATTGCCTATATGTGAAATGAAAATATAACTGGGTCTTTAAAAAGAGAGAACTGATGCTTTATTCGTGCTCTGAATCTTGAATTTGCAACATACTAGCAAAGTCACTATGCTTAAGTTAAATTTTTTTGTTTCGCCTCAACTGTTATTACTTTTTCCTATTTTATAGTATTGCTAGGATTAAATATATTTGCATGTGCAAAACAAATTTATTTCATATGTGGTAATCAACTATTACAGGTTAACATTATAGTGACGGTAAAATCAGTATTATCAACAACACCACATTTATGTAAATTTATGCCCCACAACCTTCTGTAATGCAAGTCATCATTTTCTTAATGCAGGTACTCAGGTTGACCATTAACAGAAAGCTGATCAGTAACAGTGGGATTTGAGTCTAACTTTATGTGAATCCCAAAGGTTATCATTTCAACATTTTGTCATCATTCAGATTTCTAAACATTGTTTGATTCCTGAAGTTTGAAAATGGCAATTCAAAATAGGTAAATAATCGGTCTGTCTTATGCCAGGTAGTTCAGGCTATGCAGATGGTGAAACTAAATCTTTATTTTTACTTGTTCTTTCCAGGGTCTTTCATAATTTGAATATTATCATTTAAAGTGTTTAGCTAATGTTTCTAGTTTCTCTCCATGATCCAGTTTTTAGGCTAGTAATAGTAATTGTTTGATGATTATTTAAGATATAGTCATAAACATTTAAAAATAGAGCACATCATATTCTGAGGAATTAATTAGAGTTTTTAACTAGAATGCTTTCAGAATGAAATTTCCTATAAAACATATGAAAATATTTTAACCAGCATTATATATTATGAAGGTAGTACTAATAAATGCAGATGTTGGGCTTATTCTGTTTCTTCTTAATATTGCCTAATGCCACTTCCTTTCACATTTAAAATAATTATTTGGACTTTAATCTTTTGAACTTATCTAAAGCTTTCTCATCATGGAAATAGATAATTTGATGTACTTTTATTTTTTATACTTTTTCATCATGTTCTCGCCTTCTCTCTTCCAGAGCTAATATCAAACCTCGAAATACTACACCTCCTAGTTTGTCAAGAAATTCTGCAGCAGGTGTGCTTACCAGCAAAAGAAAAACATTTCCTGAGAGCTACCTAGCCAGGTATGTTTAACTCTGCCATCGTAATAATTAGAATGAAAGTTAATATATGTAGTTTTCCAAGTTCCATATACAAAAATAGGTAACAAACTGTAAAATTTGATTTTTTTTTCTTTATTATAAAACTCAATGTGGCTTTTTTGGTTTTTTTTTGTTTTAGTTTGTTTTTTGAGACAGGATCTCCCTGTAGCCCCAGTTGGCCTGAAACTCAAAATGGAGACCAGGCTGGCCTTGTTCTCCAGAGATCCTCCTGCCTCTGCCTCCCAAGTGTTGGGATTAAAGGCATGTACCACCACACCCAGCTAAATGTGGCTTTTAAATTGACAAAAATTGTTGGGGCATAAATATTATTTTCGTATATTTAAAAAAAATGTTATAAAGCTGTGCTTTGTTTAGGTCTCTCCCCCCAATCTCTCTAGCCCTGGGAATGAATTTAAAAGCTAAGGAAATTTTTAATTTTGATGTAGAAAATTTAAAACCTTAGATGATAGTAAAGATATGTAAATAGATAAAATATACCCTTTTCACGAAATAAAGCATTTATTATCAAACTTTTATAAAATTATCTGTACTCTTCCCTGAATTAAGATATAAATTCAGTGTTTTTCAAACAGAATTCATGAATCTTGAGTATTCATTTTTTAAATGTGTGTGAAGAACAAAAACCTAAAAAGCCAGGACAAATCAAAGATAGTATTGTGAAGGATGTGTGAAATTATATCAATTTAGACAGCTTGATAGTGATTCATAAATAAATAAATAGAACAAAAGATCAAATGGGAAGATTAGGGGGAAAGATTTTAGTTACACAAATGATGGAATCTGCCACATTTCAGAGGTAGCAGTGTAGGAGGTAGAAGTAGAGGACACTGGAGCTAATGAACATACATTTACTGAGAAAATTCAGCATATGGATCAGTGGTTAGAGCACTTGCTATGCATGCACATACAGACACACACATATACAAAACAAACCAGTTACTAGTAAATTAAATGCTTAGATATATAAAAGCAAGCAACTAACAGTGTAGGATGACAGAAGTTTCATTATCACCTGAGTTAGGGAAATATTTCCTGAATAATTTAATAAGTCCAAATTACAGCAAAGGTTGATGTATTGGTTCATACTGAAGTAAAACAGCATTTCAGAAGACTCAAGGATAAAGTGAGGTAGCAGAAATTGGAAGAGAATGGCTGCTCCTCACATCCACGTGTCTAACCTTTTCACAGGTGACACCATGTGGTCATCTATAAAATTTAATTTTAAGGGGCTAGAGAGATGGCTTAGAGGTTAAGAGCACTGGCTGTTCTTGCAGAAAACCTGGGTTTGAATCCCAGTACCCACATGGCAGCTAACAACTGTAACTCCAGTTCCAGGGAATCTTGACACCCTCTTCTGACCTCTGCAGACATTGCATGATATGGGTGCACTTACACACATGCAGGCAATACATTCATACACATGAAATTTAAAAGAAAATTGATAAAAGGAAAATTTAGTTTTGAGAAGATTGTAGTTGATTTAACCAAAAAAATGTAGAAGGATCTTACAGTGCCTTTTTTTTTTTAATGATTTTGTGTTGGGTCTTATTCATAGCTGTTTTTGGTCACATGAGGCCCACGTGTGGCATGTTTGACTTACCATACATACTACCAAGGGCACATGGGGATTTTCTACAAATAAAAATTTAAAGATTACTCCATATAAGTAATAGTTCTGGGAGTTGGTGGGGATAGAGGATGGAACAACAGCTAACCAGTAGAAGAAATACAAGTATCAAAGAAACATATGAAAATGTATTTAGCTTCATAAAGAGGAAAATGTATATATTAAACATGGTAGGGTACCATTTTACACTCATCAGGTGAATAAATACAAATTATGTTAGAAAATGTATTGAGCTGGGCATGATTGTCCATACCTTTAATCCTAGCACTTGGGAGGCAGAGGTAGGAGGATCTCTGTGAGATCAAGACCAGTGTGGTTTATTCAGTGAGCTGCAAGCCAGCTAGGGCTACAGGTTAAGCCAGTCCCAAAAAGTCAAAAAATAAATAAATAAATAAATAAATAAATAAATAAATAAATAAATAATGTGATATTGGAACCACATATACTCCTATTTAGGGCATAAATTTGCTAGCAGTTATGTAAAGAGATTTGCTAATACCTAAGTTGATGTTTTAGTATTGTATTAAATATTTACTAGTGAGTATTGATTTCTTCAAATGTTCATGCTGTAGTATTTAAATGATCTTATTTTGAATTTATTTTGAATTCTTACATATTTCACTGACAGAAAGCTGATTTATTTTCCCATGGCACTTTTCCTTGATTAGTGATATACCTCCTAGTGCATTTAATCTTCTCTTTGTGGTTTATAGGGATTATACTGATGCTGTAATTTACTTTCAGTATCTGACAGTGTGTGTCTCTATTCAGAGCCTTGTACAGCCTCTGCCTGCTGGAGCTATAATCAGGAAACAGAAAGATTCAAATACAAAAGATACTGATATTTGCTTTATTTTCATCTATATGAACTCTAAGTCTATAGTGGCTTTTTGTAGAAAGTTTAGGTATTTATTACTAACTCCATCCTGTTTGTAAAAGGAGGTAACCCTAGATTTGTCAGTACCTACTCTAGAAATATTTTTTTTTCTTAAATTTCATTAGTACTATTCTTACAAACCAGTGATTTAAAAGTTGTCTTGGTGGAGACTTTAACATAAATAACTTGTTCTCAGTACATATGCCTGGAGAACAGCTATATGTTCTTAAAGGAGCCAAGTAGTTGCTTTTCCAGCTAATGCATACTTCGTTAGTGGAATCTGAATTTTTATGCTGTGTGGCATCTATGATGAAGCACTTATAGACTCAAATTTTAAATTGTTGTCAAGATCTAAAGTTCTTCCAGATTCTGCTTTGCCTTCATTGCTTTGTTAAAGCTCATCATGATAGGGTATGAATAGGAGCTCACTAAGTATTTTATCGTAATAATGTAGTAACAAAGATCAAAAGAAATAATAATGTAAATAATGAAATATCACCCCACAGTCCTGTGGCCAAGGAATGTGATCTGGAACCTGAATACCTTTTCTGTACCAGGGTTCAGCTCATTTTTTCTTCAAATGGTTTTTCAGAAAGGACATTGTTAAGTTTTCTCATTTTCTATTGTATTGTAAAGGCCTACACATGAAACAGATGAGAGCTTGGCTGTACTGAATTGATCACAATCCGTTCTCCTACAGGGACAAATAGAATGGTGAAGAAGCATTGGGAATTACAGTGTTTACCAATAGAGATTCTTTTGTATTTACACAGAGTCTCATGTAGCTCAGTCTGGCCTTGAATGTGCTTTGTAGCCAGGGCTAGCTTTTAACTCCTAGTCTTTCTGCCTCTACACCCCGGAGTGCTAGAATTGCAGGTGTGTGTCACCATGTCTGGTCTAGAGATTCTCTTATAATTTGAATTAGAGGAATATTAAAAATTAGGTTAATATTTTAGTTATCCCTGTTCTTTAATAGTTAAGATTACTAGCTACTAGTGTGAAATGTATTCTTGCATTTCTTTCTCTGCTTCTTCAGGCCAGATGGAGACTATACATCTTCAGTTAATGGTGGAAACATTAAAGGCGTTGAGGGAAATTCATCTGGACACTTACCAAAATTCTGTCATGAGTGTGGAACAAAATACCCTGTTGAGTGGGCAAAGTTCTGCTGTGAGTGTGGCATTCGAAGAATGATTCTGTGACCATCTTAAGAACACACAAGGGCCAGGTTCAGAGTTTTATGAGTATTGCTGCTTGGACACCTAGAGCACTTAGTTTTATGAGTATTGCTGCTTGGACACCTAGAGCACTTCCTGTGTTTTGTTTTGTTTTTTTCCTAAAGCTATTCACAATACCCTTTTCTTTAATTTTTTTAATATAATCCTTTGGCTGTGTAATGTATGTCTGTATATATGTATATATAGCCTGTATATAATAAATATGTGATTCCTCCAACCTGTTTCATTCAAGAAATATTCACCTTTCAGAAAATAATTTCAAATGGAATCATTTCTTTGGTCTCTCTGGTTGTTGAACACATTCTGTGTATACACCTCCACAAACTCTTACAGACTAGACTTGATGAACTGCAAGCTTTAGGATAATCACACCTTTGAGAAGAAAAATCAGAATAAACATTGTTTTTGGTACCTGCACCAATAGCATTATACTGAAATGGGATATTTGGGATTTTGTTTTAAAGTGAATGCTATATAGTTATTAACAGTTGTTGTAAGGTCATTTTCCCAGCTGAACTCTTCAACTAATTTGGGGTTCCTAAAAAGTAAGAAGAAAGGAAATCCTGAGGTCTGTGATTCCCCTAACTTCACTGATTATTAACTACATAATTTGAGGATAATTTTTAATTCTTTGAAAATATAATTATGCATTCTTTTCAGAAATGGCTGAAATGTAACCTACTCTGCATATAAGTGAGTGATTTATTTACTCTATTAGTTGGACACATATTCCATCTACTTCCAATTGTGTTTAAAGATTTTATTTTTCTTTCACATATCTCCTTTGAAGAGTAGTTTAACTTACTAATACAGTTTTTGCAGCATTTAGATATTTTTTTGTAGAATCTTATGTTTAGAATTTTATTTCACTATATCTGAATTTATAAGAAATTAACACAATTTAAAACAAATCACCTTCCCAGCAAACAGTTATCGTGGTACTCATTAATGCCAAGCATGCAGACAGTACATGTAGTTACAAATAGATTAAGAGAATTTCTCATTTTTCCCCTATTCACATTCTTTAGTGTTTAATGTTGAAGCACCATAACTGTTAAAATATTTACTGAAAATATTTAATAGATAACTGACTTACATCAACACAACCAAAATGTATATATTCTCTTTAATTTGACTAAAAAGTTTTGATCATTCTTTACTGTTTCAATGATGCTTAGTAGTAGGTTGCTTTGCCTTCTGCAAGAATGTTCAGTAATTCTATAGTAAGTTCTGTTCAACCAAGCCTAAATGAGCTCTGTCTTTCAAAGATACTGACAGCATTTTTATGCTACCATAGTTCCTACCTTATTGTTTGTTTTGGGTTTCTGATCTGTGATCAATGTAGGAATTCATTGCTCAGAATTTCATTTCTGAAACTTGCTCAGCTTTTGCTTTTAATTTGGGAAGGGATTGTGAACTTAGTGGTAATAGGAGTCATCACCTACCTTATTCTTCCTTTCTTTCTTGCTCTTAGGATTTTGTTTCTCCTCCGTAATTTATTTAGAATCCCAGCACCAAGAGGTAGAGGCAGGTGGATCTCGATGAGGTCGTGGCCACCCAGGTCTACATAGCAAGTTCCAGGCCAGCCAGCTGGAGCTACTGGGATACTCTGTCTCAAAAAACAAACCAACTACAAAACACACATGCGCGCGCATACAAACATACACACACACGCACAATAACAAAATCTTGTCAGCTTGAAGTAATGAATTTAGGAGACTAATATACATATATTTTAGATTTCCTCTTTAGTAAATCCCTTTATGTTGTAATGAATTTAGAAGACTAATGTACATTTTAGATTTCCATTTTAACAACTCCCTTTTTAGTCTCAATTTGTTACAAGTATCATGAACTTTTAGTTCTTGTTTTATGTAAGAATAAAAACTTATTTTCGTTCAGTTATATTTTTGTGACCACATAATCGTTTATTCTGCACAAAGAATTGATAGATTCATCAGTTTAAATAGACAAGCAAATGGTTTTTGTCCGATTTCTACAGTAACAAATGAATGTTAACGTGCACTACAGAGAAATTAGCTGCTAAGAAACATGCAATTCCAGAGCCCAGAGATTACTGTGTGCAGTGTGTTAAAGTGAAATACATTTGTGAAACATGTCACGTATTTGAATACATTCTTATATTCCGTACTTGACCGTCACATTTATTTGTTGTGCAATAGTTATTAAGCAGCCTGTATGAATCACTCATTTTATTTATTTGCACAAGTATTTGCCAGTGTGGTAGAATGAAAATGATTGTAAAGTTAAGTTAAAATTTAAGAATTGCTTGTATGTTATTCTGGAAGTTATTTGCTTGAAAAAGTAAGATTATTGTGACTACTGTTGTCTCACTCATTTTTATCACAAATGGTATATTCATTTTGAATCAATAAAGACACAAAACAAATGCTGCTTGTTATATTTATTGATGTTTTATCTTTTAGGATATAGAATATAAATAAAATATCTAAAGTGAAAAAATATAGTTAAAATAATCTTGTGCTTAATATACCATGACTTTTTTTAATTGCTTTATCATGGCTTTAAAATAATAAAATGTTTTACAAGATTTTAAAGCATAGAAATACTGTCTTTATAACCAACATAATTTAAAAGTTTCAAAATAATGATATTTTTAGTTAAGTACTGTACAGTTTAATGGCAAAATCTGTTTATTCTTGATGAATGTTTAGTGATTACTCCATATTTTAAATTTTAAGACAAATGCTATTTCTATTGGAAATATGGCTAGATTCTACATGTTTAATTTGTATTCAGTTTTTCCTAGGCCAGGCCAGAATTAAATGATTTTTTTGTTTGTTTGATCTTTTTGAAACAAGGTCTCCCTGTAGCGCCAGCTGGGCTGGAACTCACTATGTAGACCAGGCTGGCCTTGTTCGAACTCACAGAGATCCTCCTGCCTCTGCCTCCTGAGTGCTGGGACTACAAATGTGCACCACCATGCCTGTCTAGGTGAATGATTTTTTTTTTTTTTTTTTTTTGGTCTTTTTGAGACAGGGTCTCTCTCTAGCCCCAGCTGTCCTAGAACTCGCTATGTAGACCAGGCTGGCCTTGAACTCACAGAGATCTGCCTGCCTCTGCCTCCCGAGTGCTGAGATTAAAGGTGTGTGCCACCACACCTGGCTGTGAATGATTTTTGTAAGAAGTAGTATCTTGAGCTGGAGAGATGATTCAGCAGTTAAGAACACTGGTTGCTCTTGCAGAGGAACTGGGTTTGATTCCCAGCACCCACATAGCAGCTAACAATAGTCCATAACTCTAGTTCCAGGGGAGTGCAGCGCCCTCTTCTGACCTCCATGGGCATCTCATGACATGGGTGCATTTCCATACATGCAGGCAATATTACTCATACACATAAAATAATTAAAAAGTAAATAAAAATTTAAAAATAATTAGTATAATTGTAAAAATGAAGTTCTTAGTACTAAAAGTAATATATACACACACACACACAACATATAAGGCAAAGAAATACCCAAGAGTTGTGCTAACTTCTGTCTTTGGGTTTCTGTTATTTTCATTCTTTTAGCTAGCCTTTTTTTTTCAAATATTATTTGAAAATACAACAGCTGTTAGACTGTTGTTAGTCACCATGTGGGTCTTGGGAATTTAACCCAGGTCCTCTTCAAGAGTAGCCAGTGCTCTTAACCACTGAGCAGTCTCTCCAGCCTGTCAACTTACACTATTTAATCAAATAATGAAAAATTTAAAGTTAGTGATAGCCATGCCCATTTTATTTTCACGTAGAAACTTGCAGTTAAATATTTATGATGTTCATTTAAATACAGTTTCGCTAAGCGTATATGTGAATTGCTTTTCTGCCACTATAGAGTGCTTTTGTGTAATTTACTGTTATTGGCTTCAGCTACTTTAAAGATTTCTCAGTTAATAGAGTTATGAAACATGAAATTTCAGAGGTGATGAGTGAGTAGTTTTTGGCTATTTGTGCTTTTGTGACTTTAACAATCCATACATTAATGCTCATTTAGGGTACCAGTGGAGCAACTTACAGAAACACTTAAACTTACGCTTCTCATGATTTTTAGGAAAATACCACCAAGAATGTTTGCAAGATAACTGAGATAGTACCTCACCTTTTAATCTTTCAATAAAAGTTTATATTTAATACTAAAAAATTACTTTAAAATTGTGGGAGACAGGCTTGAGCCTAGGGTGGAAGTCTTATTGACAGCCATACAGCAGGCCCGAAGCAATGGCCCAACCGCTAGAGCCACAAGGAACACCTTGTGACATTTGCTCCCATTGGCAGATCATGAGTGATGCCTAGAGCTCGCCACTCCCTAATCACCACCCTTGGAATTCCAAATTGCAATACTTAGGTATTGCAACAGTCAGGATCACATGGTTTCCAGGAGTCCAGTCTCTGTAATCTGAACCCCAGTATGCTAATAAGGCATCCTACCTACTATTCTGTGATAGGATGTTAAGTCTGTTATGCTAATAAGATGCTAATAAGGTATCCTACTTGCTGTGCTGTGATTGGACCACTACCCCTATATATGCTTGTGCCTTCCTGCGATAAAGCAGACCTGTGTCACCGAACCTGGTCTCCTGTGTCTGAATGCGGCTCTGCGGACACAGTCTCCTCACCAGCCCTGGGGTCCTGACCGGGCAGAAGCAGTGACGACAGGAGGCAGCACCAGGCAGGCAGAAGATCAGACTCAGACCAGGGTGAGCAGAGGAGCAGCCTCGACGCCCGTGAGAACAAAGGAGCAGCACTCACGAGAAAGGAGGAGCGGCCACCGCTGGCGGTGACCACATAAAATCATGCTTAAAATATTTCAATTATCTGAAGCTGAATGATGACTCAGTGGTTAAGAGCAGTGACTGCTCTTGCAGAGGACCAGAATTCAATTCCCAGTACTGACATGGCGATTAAGACTCATCTTTAACTCCAGTTCTAGTGGATCCTATTCCCCCTTCTGACCTCCCCAAGGCATTGAATGACATGGGTGCTTTCCATGCAAGCAAAACACTCATAAAATAAGGAGCTGAAGAGATAGCTCAGTGGTTAAGAGCACTGGCTGCCTTTGCAGAGGACCTGGGTTCGATTCTCAGCACCCATTGAGTAGCTAAAAATCGTCCATAACTCCAGTTCCAGGGGAATCTGACACTCTCTTCTGACCTTCATGGGTATTGCATGACATGGGTTGCACTTATATGCATGCAGGCAATACACTCACACATAAAAGTTTAAAAAAAATAATTTAAACAATAATATATTTTAATTATGTAAAAACCTGCATAGATAAAAGCCATGATTTTTAAACTATATTATTTCTTCTAGAAGAATATTTAATAAATTTTATTTATGTTTTATTGTGGGTTTTCTAAATGAATATGTAGTTTGTTCATAATATTCAAAAAGCAAGTGGAGAGGTCTGAGGAGAAGCACAGTGGTTAAGAACACTCACTGTTCTTGCAGAGGACCTGACTTCAGTTCTCAGAACCCACATGACTCACTACTTTCCTTTCGGATTTCAGGGGACCCAACATCCTCTTCTAGCCATTGTGGGCATTGTATGCTTGTGGTACACTTGAATATGTGCAGGCAAATTACTCATACATACAAAATTAAATAAATCAAAAAAGATCATTTAAAAAAGCAAGAAAAGAGAATGAGTGACTCAAATGTGACAGTGTTTTCTCTGACATTGCAATCACTTCCACTGCGCTCCTAACACTGTCTAGTTTAAATGCTACCTTTGTGATCCAGTTAGGCTACTTTATTTGGATTTATTTGGGATTAAAAGTGTGCATCACCATGCCTGGCAAGCTACTTAATTCTTATGGGAACTTACTGCTGAAAGTCCTGTTAAATTTATAATTTTAAAGAAATTTGTAATTTTTCCTGAATTTTACACAAGATAATTTAAAATTGTTTTGTTTTGTTTTGTTCTTACTTTTTCCTTTTTAATGGTATGCACCTGTGATTTAAAGAGTAATGTTTTTAAATGAATTTTATTCCACTTGAAATAAAAATTCAACTTGGTTTGCATATGTAAGAAGTATTTCCCATACTACTATTGAGCTGATTGTTATGTAACTTGGGGATAATTTTTAAAATTGCTGTTTTTGCCTGCCAATTCTTTTTTTAAGTATGTGAGTGCACCCATGTCGTGCAATGCCGCGGAGGTCAGAAGAGGGCGCCGGATTCCCCTGGAACTGGAGTTAAGGACGGTTAGTAGCCACCATGTGGACTGTGGAAATCGAACCTGGGTCCTCTGCAAGAGCAGTTAGTGCTCTTAACCACTGAGCCACCTCTCCAGCCCCGCCTGCCAATTCTTTTAGTCAAGGAAAATGCTTTAAACAGTAGAACATTACTTTGTCAACAAGTCTCCTCAAATTTACAATACTCATAGGGAAATTTCAAATAAACCTCACAACAAATGTTAGAAGTTTAAAATTTTATTTTAAACACTAGTCTTTGAACTTGATTATCTTTAGAATGTGCTATTGAATTAGTTTGAAATACAAAACTATCAGAACTTTAGGAATACATCTTGCTTTAAGATGAAATCAAAGTACCATTTGAGTGAGCAATATGTATTTCTGTGTCTCTTCTGATAACAGTTACAATTTTTTGGTCCTTTTGTAAATATTGCCATGTTTCTCCCTTATGTCAGTAGAAAGAGTAATTCTCCCCATGACTTAAAGGTTCAGATACTTTACCATTGTTTAAGTAGAAGACATTAAACAATATTAGGAAGTTAAATATTAACTAATATGTATAAGTAAAAAACTTTAATGTGTGATACATTTAAACCTAAAATGTTTACAGCAGAATTTTGTATGTTTATGGCTAGTATCTTTTGAAACCCTAATTTGGTGACTTTTCTTTGTTGACTCTCACTCCCTCTAAATCACAGAATTGAGTTTACTACTGTTTTAAAAAAATATTTTATTTACTATTTTTATTTTGTGTCTGAATGTATCGTTTGCATTTATTTAAGTGCAGCCATGTTGTGCAATGCCTGTGGAGGCCAGAAGAGGGCATCAAATTCCATTGTAACTAGAGTTATGGAAAGTTGTTAGACAGTTGTTAGCAGCTGTGTGGGTGCTGGGAATTGAACCCAGGTTGCCTGCAGGAGCAGCCAATGCTCTTAACCACTAAGCCATCTCTCCAGCCCCCTCCCATCCTTTCTTGTAGTGAGAGTGACTTTGTGACTTACTGAATAGACAGGTATTAGGAGTCCCAAAGAAGAGAACTAACAGAAGGTAAAGACAAACAGAAAGCAGCAGTACATATGGACATATTTATATTGTGTGTGCATAGACATAAGCAGTTATATGAATACATATGGGATTTATTAATTTACTCAACCAGATCAGAGGCTGAATAGTCCCAAAGTGGCTGTTCAGGCT